AGAGAGAGAGAGAGAGAGAGAGAGAGAGAGAGAGAGAGAGAGAGAGAAGGAGAAACGGGAAAATGAAAATAAATAAATATAAGAATCACTTATCGCATTCAAGTAAAGCTTCTTACATTTGTTGTTGTTAATTACTCGAAAGTATCGATAAATTAGTCTGTTCTCATCGTTAATGCGAATTGGCATGCGGAGAAACATGCTGTTCTCGGTCTCTCGGCTATCGGACGAAATCTCTAAGGAACTGCGGATGCACTCGAGACTTGAGTTCGTGCGCCAATTGCAACGTGCAGCGAGGCAATAATGCTCGGAGTAAATGCTTGTATTAGAGAGGCGAATCACAATCGAAAGATGCGCTTAACCGACTTAATGATTTGCGGGTTTAACACGTTTACGGACTTAAACAGTATAAATCCGTCGTAATTAATGGCGATTAATTAAGTAGATTATTTTCATCGACTATAAACTAGCAAGACTTCTTTTTTTTTAATTGATTCTCTCTCTCACACTGTCTCGCTACAGCAAATAGAGTGCGGTGGAAAAGATTGTCAGAAATAGAGCGTGATAGAATGTTCTGTCGGTGCACGATTGTTATATTACGCTCGCAATTATATGGCTCGCAGTATTTACAACGTATCGATAGATATGTCAACGAATTTATACGCAAAGGTAAACAATATCGAATCAGTGTCGTCGGTGAATGGGACAGTGTTTGTAGCAACCAGAGTTTGTGATAATTAGCAATTGGAAGTGTCACGCTCTAAATATTCAAGTGTGCATACACGTTTAACGTATCGCACATGTCGGAGACTAGGAGGCTCGGCCAAGTTCCCCAAATATAGACCGTGAACCACAAAATGCAATTACAGGGTGATGGGCATAATCGCGGCAATTACAAACTCGCGACAACGGCGAATTACTAAAACAGTATAGATAGTTCGGAAGAGAATATGCCTACCGTTAAGTCGCGCTCAAATAATACTTTTAACGCCGTTTGGAAATAAGACATTCCCAGGAACGTCAATGAAAACTATTTGCCACGGGGAGAATTTATAGACCTTAACAAAATTATCTCTCAACCGTATAGATATTACAATACAAAAAAATAATAATGACGAACACACATGTGAGTTTTAAAATTTATTTAAAAGATCAAAAAATCACTTGAGAATCGCGAGAGTGTGATGTAAACGCCACAAAGTGTTTGTCTAATACGGTGATATCTTGAAACCGTGGGCAGATGGTTTCATTTACTCTCGACTTTTACACCGCGGTGTTGGTAGCTCGCCTGTGCACGGCAAGTTTTAATAAGCTTATGCTACAGCCTCTCCGCAACGTGCGGCGCGGCACTAAGGAGCACCGAAATTCAGTCCGCTCACTTTGAAAAATGCAAAGGAGTCATCTAATTAAGTCGAGGCGCGTGGCTTATCCAGCGGCATTAATGTATTCGTGTCAATATAATTCTGTAATTACCTGACGGCGATGTCGCCGGTGCCGCGTGCAATTCCCTTCTCCTCGCTGAAAACGAAAATCCGCGTAGGGCCGCGGTACCACTTGATGCTGTGTAGACCCTCGCATTGCGGCGATTTCAGGACGCAGGGTAGCAAAACCTCCGTGCCCAGTTCGGCGTGTTTCTCGCTACTCAGCCACAGTTTGCCGTTCCCTGAAACAAACATACGCGGATTTAGCAGCGATACTCGTCCAATATCGCGTCCGTAATTGAAGTACCCACAGCGCTTTAAACATCCATGGCGGTTGACGAAAACGTTACCGACGAGTTGCTCCGTCGCGCGATGTCGATTTTACACGGTTCTGCCTGTGTATGTGTGTGTGCCTGTTTACGCGGCTCCACGTTTCATTGACGAACGCTAAGATGCGTTCGACGAGAATTAACGAGCCGTCGCGTGAACTTTTATCGGTAAACTCGTGTTTATCTTTATATCCGCGCGATCCCCATTTAGCCGTTCGTCTTTAGCGTTCGTCGTATCCGCAATACGCTATTACCATGCAGAATCTTCGTTGGCAAACGTAAGAAGAGTACGTTAATTGATGCGTTAACTGATATCGCAAAGCGGAAAAGCTGGATTCGGCGGGCGCGAGGCTCTCGGCGAATTGCCTTGAGGAAGGGTTGAATTCTGAAGCCATATCGTGTGGCACAGTAAATATTACGTCTAAGTGGGGAATAATGGAGAACGTCGGAGGGAATCGCGTTACGGGTTTCTACCCGTCTCTCGCGGACGTGTGAGAAGTTTGTTTGGCTGCTTTTAGCTCGGATATTACAGCATGACTGTTTAGTCGTTTATCCTCTACCAAAGTGTTTCTTCAAGAGAGGAAATCCATCTCGTCGTTTCACACTTTGTACAAAGGTCGCTGAGGATGAGTTTGCTGTTTTTTTCCATCTCTTTTCTCCTTTTCTCATGTATCCCCCGTACTTTTGCGAGTGGTCGCAATTAACAACGTCGAGAAGAACCGTCGAATTGACTTTTAAAAGCTTCCAAGAGAACTTTATTGTGCGATAGAAAGAAAGACTCGTTCTCTACATTAACGTTATTATATATGGATCGTGTAATCACGTGCTTTTCTGGTAAGCGTTGTAATGTGACAAAACGAGACCGCGATGGCACGAAAGAGATAATGCCTCATTTCTTATAGTTTAGCTCCGTTAATAGAAATTTCCGGGCGCGTACTTTGCGACGTGTGTGTCTCTTCTTCGCGAATCATGCGTCGATATTGTGCGCGTACTTGTTAAACTAATTGCACGGACTTAGCGAGAATTTTAAGCGGCGAACGAAAGCGGCAGCATGAATAACGCATTTGTAATAACTTTGCGCGCACCAGTCGGTGTTGCTCGCGAGATCGAGGGAACATGTGGCGCATGAACATTCGAACACGGAAGGATTACGATTTATGGCCTTTGCACGAATATCTACAAACAATGATTTATCGACCGAACATGGATGTCCGTCACTGTCGATTGAATTTCCGCGGCCTTAGTGCAGTTTAAACGACTTTGTCTTTGTTATATATTCATGTATCGGGGGGACTCATTGAAAAACCGATCGGGAGGCGTCGGATTAATCCCACGTATGTATATACATATACATGTATACGTCGTTTATATTCTGTCTTCACCTCGCCGCCGCGAAACTTTTCACATCGCCGTACGAATAGACCGTGAAAATTTATGAATTTCGTGTAAAGACGCAGAAATTCACCGAGGAGGTGATTTTCAGTCGCGAGATATCGAGCTCCGCGAAAAGGAGACGACAGGACGAAACGGCGATGGTCGAGAGAAAATGCAACTTTTTCTCGTCCGGGTTTAATTAAAAGTTTAATCGTCCGACGAAGTGAATAATTCGCAGGAATATCAACGCACGCCGTCAATAATAAATCTTCCACGAAGATATTTTCTCGCGGTCGCGAATCGAGTATTGATTCCGCAAACCGCTCCACTCGTAAAATCCGCGCGCCGCGATTAAACGGCGAGAAAGTCAATTTGTGCGAAAATAATGCGCTTTTTTCTTCCGAGCGGTTTACGCAAACAGGCGCGCGCTAATATTTATGCGCCGCTAAACGAGCGTCTTAATGTGTCTTGAAGAGACGGCCGTTTGAAATATAAGGGCGAGGGGAGCCGCTGTTTGCGCGGCATTCGTTGCATTCGACGCCGCTACTAATTACAAGGGCTCGCAGCTAAATTTCGCCACGTATGCACAAAGTTTTTATGAGGGCGCACGAGCGGGCTGTAACAATGATAATTATTGCACTTGATGGTACTTTCAGTTTCCGTCGGTTTCCTGGCCGAAACTTCTTGCACGGTTCCCTGCCTCCCATCTCCTCCCTCCCACCTCTTTCTCATACAAGTACGACGGTGCGAAATACTGCACGTGCACTTCGCCATCTTCCGAGCTCGTTAGTAGCAACCCGCTAACTAAATAATTGCTAATGTAACGTTCTTCTCGTTCATCGCGAGTTCAATCCACTTGCACAGCGGGTTATTTAATTTCGATTTTAATTCGGATTTCAACTTGACTTTTTTTCTATCGAGTTGATAATTAAATCCTGTGTTATAAAGCTTTCGGAAGGTACATATATATATATATATAAAGTTTAAAATAAAGTTTAAAGCTCGGAACTGCCTTGTCTTCACCATCTCGTGACTTCGGGAAGAGTTCCGAAAAATCTATCGAGACTGATGAAAATTACATCGAGCGCGATCTGGATTATTGATATGTCAGGTCTGACAGGTGAAATGTACTATTTCTCCGCCGAATTAATTTTTCCATATTTTATAACGAGAAAGAGAAGGGGGGAGAGGAAGAGAGGGAAGCAAACACGGAAAGATTTATTTCCAGATTGTTACTTAATTTCAACCACTTTATCGTAACGGTGAAACCTCTTTTCTTTTAAAAGTGTGTCAGACAAATTAGAATTTTTCGTACGTTCATGATATCGGAGTACGGATTGTTTAGTGTTGGCGACCGTGTATTTCATTTGTTTAGATAAGAACCGAAAATGGCAGACGACAACTACAAATCAGGTTGTACAGTTGAATCGACTATCGGGACATCTTAACGCCTCAGCGATCGCGATTAATGCCGTTAATTCAATGCTTCATGATCGCGCAGCCACCAACCATTGAAGCTCATTCGCTTGGAATTCGTATCGTATTTCGACGATGTTCGATTTGTCGTTCTCTCTCTCGCGCGCGTGCGCGTTTACAGGAGAATTATTCGTGGAGGTCGAGATGCAAGATTCGTGACTCTGCCGTGACTTCATTAATGACAGTGGTGCATTAACGGTCGTAGGGTTTAGGCGCGCACATTTGCTGGGCAATTTTACTCATATGGTCGCCGGGACGCGTCTGCCACCAGTAGTTTACAGTCTCAAGGGCCCATGAAATTAGTAGTATTTCGAGATGTCGACGTGACTCCGGAGACATTAAAATGTAAAGTAAGCACTATGCTTCGGAACGAGCGCCGTTGCGGAAGAGCACGTGCAGATAACGACGTTCTATCGCGAGAGCAGAAAAAGTTATCGACCTCGGATGCTCCGACGCGTGCTTAACCCATTTCGAAATTATACAAATTGCAGTCTGCATTAGCATAGAGCCGGCTGGGAGACAGGGCAGACCGAGACGACCGGACGGGAATTATCCGAGACAGGGATTTAGCGTCGGACGAACGGACGATACGCGTATAAATATCGGCAACGCGATATTTATGATGCATCCGCTACAACTACGCGCGCGCGTGTCTCTGTCATTGGGTGTCTAATGAGACACCCGATAGTGCGGATCTTGCCGGATGTGTACTCTACGAGCGAGACGGAACGGCTCCGCGCTGAATCTTAATCAGGCGTCTTGTAATTGCGTTTTGCGAGACGCAATTGGGGTAATACGTACGACAGCGGTACATCTAAATCTACACAACGGCTGCGTATTCTACGCAGGAAGGAAGAATATTTGTTTCAGCTGATGATAAATCGTGAGCGGCAAAGCAAATGACTCTATATCCAGTTGGACAGTATTTTTCCCTCAACGGCGCGTCGGTTCTCTCTCTCTCTCTTTCTCTCTCTCTCCCGCATCCCGCATTCCACGTCGGTTTGCGGGATCCTTTATGCCACGTTTGCGCATCCCTTCGAAATACGCGAAACTACGTGACGTGCTAACAGCGAAATGTTAAACAACAGCGTCTAGAGTGAAGATGTAACAATGCATGATCTTCAGTTATCGACGATTTAATAATGTTCGTCTCCTTCATCCGTAATTTCCGATATCATGATGAAAAAAAATGGATAAAAAAGACATATATATATATATATATATATAATATATATATATATATATATATATATATATATATATCTTTATATATATATATATATATATATATATATATATATATATAAGAGAGAGGAAACACGATCGAGAGATAGTTACTCCACAATTAAATTGCCTCGCTTGTTAGAACGTCCTCCAACTTTTCTGCTTCATATTAATTTAATGATACACCACATCGACGAATAGCTTACAACAAAGTTGCCGGCAAAATTGTTTGTACAGAACGCTCCCGAAAACTATGTCATCGTCGGACGATAATTGTGACACACCATGTATATCAGTCATAACTTTGTGGGAGACGGCTGCAGTTTCACGTTCGGATATTTTTATCGAGTTACTAACAATGTCATAGACACAATCGTAATTCCTCACTGCGTCGAAAGTCAGTCTGCGGGAACGCGATAATGACAAAAGGATTCGCGCATCGGATGAGATCTTGCGTTTACTGCAGATTGTTACGGAGATACTGCATATACACCGTGCACTCGCTCGTGAGAAACGTGTTATTGCGATAGCTCCGAGAAATTGCTGCGATTAACATTCAGGGAAGCTTCGATTCTATGAGCTGGAAGGATAACGGAAGCTCCGATTTGAAAGGTGACGGACGTGGATCTCTATTGCGAGGTGCTCGAGCGTGGAACTTAATTTCTGACGAGATATTATAAGAGCAACCTGCTCTTATTATTCTGTGAGATTCTATTTTATTATATATGTAACTGCACGTTATCGCCGCGAATATAATCGTCAAGTGTAACTGTACATTTGCTACCACGATTTATTTAGAGCTTCTCCACAGCTTATCTCGTATTTTTTCACGTAATTTT